GCGTGCGCTTTTGTCAGTGGTCCGCGATTTGCTAGTCTCCGTTTCAGGTAATAATTTTCTCATTTACCCGAAGTTTCGAAATCCATCGCTGATTCTTCATCAGAGACAATAGCAGAAACGGGTAATTCATCTACCCATGGAGTTGCAGTATTTATAGGATGCAGTCACCATGCTACCGTACACTTGTGACAACCAACAGTTCCCCTGTCGAGGATCATTGCCCGCTTGTGCGCTAATTACTTGATGGCCGGCGTGCGGGTCGCGACCTCCTGAACTTTTATCACACATGGTTGACTTGGGCGTAATGGCTGCTCAGTCATCTGGTTCTCCGATCTTGACGCTAGACGACGCGTTGGCCTGTATACTTCCCCAGGGGCGAATTGCTTAGGCCGAAATGAGCCTCAACACCAAATGTGGATTGGGCAGGTCGTTGCATTTGTTTATAGCCTAGGGGCCAGTGAACCATGACTGAAGTAACTCACAACTCGCGTGATTGTCACCTGTCGCGAGAATTTTGGTCTCATCAAATTTGAATGTGTCGCCAGGTGCCGTCAAATTGACCGTGACTTGAAAATTGACGTCATTCCTCTGCCCCCCTGCCGCATCTTCGGCAGTTCGTGTCGTGAGAAACCTTCCCGTTTCTTTGACGTAGTTGCTTTTTTTGCAAGTGCGGCAGATCCTATGGACGACTCCAGGTGGTTGTTGCCATGGCAGAGGGTCTTTTGGTTTCAATAGCTGACACCATTTGGTGCCTCTGATCTGTTTGCGACCCCAAGTCCAGTTAGTGCGAGAAGGCAGCCGACGACCTCTGATCTGTTTTTGACGTATGGAATCGCTCACCGACATTGTTTATAGACTTGGGGCCAGTGAACCATGACTGAAGTAATTCACGACTCGCGCGATTGTCAGCTCTCGCGAGAATTTTGGTCTCATCAAATTTGGATGTGAGAAGAAGAAGAGTCTTCTTCTTCTCAATTGCTTCCTGGGACGCGGATGTTCGCTTGTATTGGCAAATTCGGATGTATCAGCGACGATGTCAGCCTCATTGAATTTCAATGTCTGGCAGAGTCTCCTCGAATGAGCTGCGAATGCAGAACTGGCGTCATTTATCCAATCTCTGCTGCTGCGTGTTCGCCATTCTGTCACAGGAGATGACGTCCAGTTTGTCCGGCATAGTGGTTTTGTCCGCAACTGCACCGCATACGATAGACGACACTGAGATTTGAAGACCGTGAAATATTCAGTCATAAAGCACCATACCTGTCCACTTATAAATTCTGCACAGGAGTCGTAAATAGACGTGCGAAACTTATGACAACTGCGAGATATATCCCAATTTCTTTAGGGAGGTCAAGTTCACCGAGGTCCTGTATAAATTCAGTTTTTTCGGCATATTCATTTGGCTAATTTATAGGTTTTGCAAATCCGGGAGAACAATTAGCCGACGAGGAGAGCCTTGTATTTTTGGGTACTGGTTAGAACTTGCCTGTGTACAGTGTGCCAGCCACCTTTGTCGGGCACAATGAGCACTACTTGTACCTGCGTCTTTGTGGGCCCTTTTAAGTTCACACCTATCGGTCAGCTTTTTGTTTGTCGGCCTTGAATACCGCGAGGACTCCGCCTCCTTTGTCACATGCTAAGGGTAGCGCTTTCACACCTTGCGCGTCACTCCCCTGCGCGTGCCATCGCCTACTTCGGTGACGGCACACAGCATCCCCTCGCCTTAACGCGGGGCACGGCTACGCTTTGTGTATGGGCGTGCGCGGAACAAAGCAGCTCCCCTGCTTCTGGCTTCCAATGTCTACACTTGGTGTTGACAGTGTAGCCCTCAATGCACTCTGCGCTGGCGTGGCCACAGTTCACGTTTCTGTGTG